AAAAGTTTCAATTTGAACTCTTTTCCAATTCTCTGGTTTCCTTCCTGTCCTCTCTGCTTTAATAATGTTTCATATGCCCTCGGGGACGCACGGTTGCTGCGTCTGCACACGCCTGTACGCCTCCATATAACCTTGAACTTAAAACACTAGTCCCTGAGCATGTGGGCAGCATGTGGCCGAGTGTACGTCACCGCCACGGCGAACCTCTGGAGAGTAAGAAAGAGCAGCGTGGATGTTGAAAGGCAACCTCAGCAGGCAGCACAGTCAAAACATCCCCGCGGTGCCGTCGACAGGAGTCCCAGGCAACACTTTGGACATTGTTTTGTCAGCGACCCGACAACTATATCCGGCTAATCCCACTGGTTTGTAGCAGAGTCGGGAGAGTCACACCCTCCGTCTGCCCCCGGGGTAAATCATAACAGCGTGAGGATGTTTGGTCCATGAGGAAGTGTCGCCACGTGCTCTGAGGTACATTTTCCACTCACTTTTTCACTGATGCTGTAAAATAGCTGTGACAACAGTCCACTGTCATCTGATCCCACCAGGTTATGACAGGTCAGAGCAGTGACATCTGGACTGCAGGCCGGACATCCCTCTGGGCCCGCTGTACGTCTACAATGCACAATTTATCCTGCTTAAACTCCTGATAAAAAATAATGGGTCATAGGTCACAGCATATGTCTTTGTAGGTTCTCAGTCATCCAGGTCGTCTTCTCCAAAGACTGAGAACCTACACAGACTCTGCATCAATGGGACCTTTGGAAAGACAGAAATCTCCAACCACGAAATGAGATCCTTGAATCTCCTCACACTGTTGAAACATTGTGATAAGAGTCAGGTCTCAGTGGTTCATTAATGTTAGCAGAATATCTGATATTTTTAAAGGGTGAGATAAAATCTTCTGGAGAGTCACTGTCTCAACATAACCTTTAGTACAGGGGTCCCCAACCCCAATAGGACATTTGGTAACTGGTCGCAGTGGGACGCAGTGAAAAAAGGTTGAGGCCCGCTGCTTTAGTAGATGCTCCTTCCACACTCTCTTCTTTCACATCCCAGAAAGGTCACTTGTGTGACCCCCCCTCCCCTTTTTTTTAAAATCTCAGATGGACACTGGGTCAACACAACAGAATAAAGTTTGTCAGTAAAAATATTTTCTTCGACTCTCTGCCTGTCTGGCTGTGGTTTGTTGAGCAAGAACCTATTCCTCTGCTGCATGGATACTTCTGGAAGTAATCACTTCTCCCCAGGAATTGGTGGGCTAAAAACAGAGGACGGATTTTGTTGTTGGTGTGTGTGTCAGTGTGTGTGTGTGTCTGTACAATGACAGTAAAAGGGATTTTTCTTCCTCTTCTTGTTCTTCTATTTCCTGGTTACCTACGGTTGAGAAAACCTGAAGAACATCCCCTGGAAACGGGGTTACTCGTTTGATACGACAATATTCACTTGTTCCCTGTTGTACTGCAGTACTGGGGAACGCTCATAATTAGAGGAGTAAACACAGGAGAATCTGTCTTCTGCTCTCGAGGGATCTGAGACGGTGGAGGAAAAAAGTCTCGCTGCTCCGTTAGCAAACAAACTACATATGTGGTCTTTGCAGGCTGTGCTAATGAGGCGACGCTTTATGTTAGTGAACATTATTTCTCCAACTCGCTGCTGGTAGAGATCATGTCAAACAGAGTACGTTAATAAGTACTTTATCATGTCTAATGAAAGGTCAATGTGCTTCTGAGCACGAGCCATGATTCCCAGATATTTATATTTGTTGTTAGACACCGGCTTAATAATTAGGATGGTTTTGTGTGTACGTGTGTGTGTGGTCTAGATTAAGTATAATAATATAGAATTAAACTGCAAATAATAAATACTAAAAATTAAACTAAATTTTTTACATTTATATTTGACAAGTAATCTACAACGTATATAACTATAAAAAACACTAATATATAAAAATATAAAAAATCTTACTGTATGTGACAGTAATCTGGTTATTCTGTCACCAACCACAGACGAATGCTGTTCCGTCTTAATTTCAGTGACAAGACAAAGCTGCCAATTAAATACCAACAGCAGAACACCGAAGTTGGCTTTCTTCACAAGTTTATATGAGCTTCCTTAAAATACCCTAAACAAGTGGTCCCAAACTTCTGGCCTGGGGGCCACTTGTGGCCCGCAAAGTCCTGACATTTGGCCAATGACAATGGACGTCTGTAATACCGTAATTTACAGTCGATGAGACGGCCATCAATAATAATTTACAGTCGATGAGACGGCCATCAGGAGAGGAGGACGTGACATCACGCTGTGTTTACTGATGTCAATATTGATGCTACACATATCAGCGTGTAAATCTATTTGGAAGTTCATATACAATGGCAGTCAATTTAATTGCCTTACCCCAACAGCTGGGGCTGTTACTGTTCCCTGAGATTTCCTACGTCTGAGTGTAGACCTCAGAGCGCTGACGCCTGGTGATGCTAGATTCCCTGTCCTCGCCTCATGTCCAGAGAGTGAGTGGAACTTGTTCTTTCCATTGGACCGGCTCCGTCAACGGTGCCAAGAGAAATTTTTCTTACATTTGATTTACACTGCTTTGGCATAGAATTATGACGTCTGTCTCACTGCAGAGATGTAAAAGTCAGATGAAATGTGACGTGACCTTTCAGAACAAGGTCTCTGTGAAAAACACTGTGGCTGTGGATGTAAACTGTGATTCAAAAAAGTCTGATTTCTTCTGTCATTAAATTCAGATATTGGTCACATATGATATTGATAAACCCTCACCTCCACACATCACCAGCAGGGGAGCGCTGTAAATAGATCCTGTGGTGGAGGTTTGGAGTCTGAAGCACCTCCTACAGTAACTATCACTGTCACCACAAGCTGTGCTGGTGCACTGGGCTCTGCTTCTACACAGACACCTTCACAGGGTGGTTTTGTACCGCAGGTCATTTCACTCTACTCTCTGCCCAAAATATAACGCACTGAAAGAAACAGTAGGATGCTGCTGCACTTGGTTGTCCAAAAAAGGCAGAAAGTTCAACGAGTCCGTGGAGTTTTGAGTGTCTCTCGTGGTCTGGTATAAAATAACTTTGGGAAAATGGCAGTGAAAGTTATTTGGTGGAAAAATTAAGCCCTGTGGTAAAGTACTGTTCCCATTCTTTGTTTTTACAATCCTTCAAAGTATTCCACACGTACTGTGCTGCCTGAATGTGACGACACGATTTGTCTTCACCAACACCAATCACAACAAGCTTCTATATATAGATATGCACGACTTCATGTGATGTACACGGTGGGGTGTGACAGTGCTGAGTGAGTGCAGTCCCACTGCTCACCTCTAGCAGCTCTGAGATGATGGGCAGAACCTCCGGGTTGCAGATGTCGATGGAATCGTCCCTGTAGGTTTTCTTCTTGTAGCGGATGTTGCCCAGGTGGAGGATTGCAGACAGCAGGGAAAATATCCTGATGAGGAGAAGCAACGGTTGTTGTTCATGCATGTTTAATGTTTGGGAAAGGCGTTGTTACATTTAGAAGGAAATATACCAGTCTGATTTATGACCTACAAACAGAACAAAACAAACAAAACAAAACAGTCACAATGTCCTAAAAAACAGGACACTTGGTCTCTTTGTCACTAACAGCATGAAACATTGGAAATCAGAATTTAAAAAACAAAACAAAAACATTTACATATTATAGTGTGCATATATAAATATACATATACACACATATACTGAATATATATAAATACACAAACATATATATTTATATATATACACATATATTTATTAATATATATAAATATATGTATTATACATACATGTTTCTGTATTGAAAGTCTTTGAACTAACGTTAACGTCACGTTAGACGACATACCAAGAAAACTAAGGACAACATACTGTGACTACAATTATAAAATAAGATAAATAAATATTAAACATTCAGTGTAGTCAACACAGCCAGAGCCGGAACAGAAAGTGAGCAGAGCTTTTACATCAGCATGGCATTCAATTGAAAACTCTGTCTCCTACTTTTCAGTCAACAGAGTATTCATTTATCCTTCGCTGTGAAACCAAATCTGCCCAGTTGCTAACGAGCTCCTGGAGAAGTTGTCTCCAAGCTCAGTGCCAACGTCAAGAGCAACTGAGTCTGTAGAACCTTTTATAGGAATAAACATTCATCTTACTGTTTCCGCGTGGCTGGGAGGAAGCCCACCATCTCCATGGCCAGCTGCAGCCGCTCAAAGTCATGTTTCAGGTCTTCTCCCTCCACAGTGAAGCAGTCCTGCTGGTTTCAGGTGGAAACACACAAACAGAAGCCAAGAATGAAGCAGTCTGAATCAACGTGACAAAAACACATCAAATGACATGAGCTCAGGTGGACTGGTGGACCGGGTGTTGACGTCCCTGTAGTGTATAGGCTCAAAGATATGAAGCTGTCGTGTTGTTGTCTCACCTCCACGTCTGAGCTAAGTTTCCAGGAAATAAACTGGTGCTTCACGTCAGCAGTACTTTTAAAGGTAACATTGGGGGAAAAAATAATATCACGCTCTAATGACTGAGCCCAGATGATGGTAATGGACCATAGCATGTATCTTTCTTTGTGGAAAGATTCAGCCTGAATAGAACAAAACCTCCTCGATGTAACTGAATATCCCAGTTACATTCATCAGTTGATAATGACTGATTAATTACATCACTCTGATGCCAAACAAATGAACACATTGTCCTTGTATGCATGCGTGTGCGTGCGTGTGTTTGTGTGCACACGTTCTCCAGCACTTCGGTCAGGTCAGCCTGTCTCCTGCAGCCGTCCTCTCTCAGGCTGTAATTAACACATACCACAGCCAACGGCCGGCGAGAGAAGACACACGAACCCATAATCCACTGTGTGGATCTGACGCTGCTGCACTTGAACATTCACCACGGCCTCACCATTGTTTTCCTTTGGCTTAAAAACCTTAACTGGGACGGCCAAGCCAACAAGTGGCATACTTTCTTCAGCGAGTATTTCCAATTGTAACAAAATGGGGTTTGGAGGAATTTTCAGCCACGGAAAGATCCAGGAAATAAAAGTTGTTAATAACCAGGTACGTTCAACCTCAACGCCGACGCAGGACAATGTCATCTGCTGAAGAAAAAGGATGAAATGATCCAGAAATATTTTGGCCCGTTGTAAGAAATACTTGAGCGAAAGTCATAGCCTTGAAAGGAAGAATGAAAAATTGCAACGTTTATTTGAAAAATAACCTCTTAGAACATTTTCACTGGAGGCGAAGGCTTAAGTTTGGCCTCTGTTTTGGAAGGAGATGCTTCCAATTTGTGAGATGTGAGATGTTTTGGTGCTTTTGTTGTTGGAGCGAACGGGGGAAATTTAAGAGCCATCATTCTGTTCGGCAGCTTTGGTAAAAGAAAAAGAAAAGTGCGGTTTAATAGTTCCCTGTTGTGACCTAACTACAAACAATCTTTTTATACTTTTATGTCTCGAACGTGAAGCCACGTATGAGATTCTAAACTTTTAGAAGATGAGATTTTTGTGACAGACTCTTCACTTGATGCAAAGTTCTGTCATCTTGGGAATTCAAAGTAAATACAATATTTAAACTTTGAACACATGAGTTTCATTGGTGCGGTCACTAAGACAAAACAACAGTGATACGTTTGGCAGAAACTTTGTGAACAACACAACAAGGTTTGAAACAATCTGACAAAATGTAGAAAAACAACAGCCAAAATTTCAATGTAGGTCTAAAGCTGCACTCCGCAAATAGTGGGGTGAGCCCTACTGGGGGGGGGGGTATCAATGGAATATGTCACGTTGGACATAAGTGTACCTCTGCTGTAATGCTTGAATGATAACAAGCCTCCAGTCACTAGGTGGCAGCAATAATATATAAAATACATGTTATCAGGTTCTCAATAGTTTCAATTCGGGTGTGGGTTGGCGCGGAGGCGTGAAAACATTTCTGGCATGACAGAAAATAATTGAGACCCACTGGTCTAAAGGGAAAAACTCCTACTGTTTAGAGTAAAACTGATGATGGTGCACATGACTGACCCCAGTGTGTGATGGACCTACAGACAGACAGAGAGACAGACAGAGAGACAGACAGACCACCTCTCTGACGTCTGTGTCCACATTTCACTCATCTGAGCATCAGGCTGAATGTTCCTGTTACTTACCGTGTCAAGATCAGGACTTTTTTTCACTTTTTTTTTCCAATAAGAAGCAGCATGCAGCCCATAACCACGCATTCCACACCACCAAAAAAACCATCGCCACCCAAACAAGCACAAAATGCAGACCCACGCCACCAAAGCACAGAACCGGACACTGGGACTAAACACACCGAATGCAAACATTCACAAACTGTTTGGTCTTTGGGATCTTTGAACCAACACTATGTCTTTCTTTTTCGTATTTGTTTATTTTCTATTTCCAGCTCCAGACTTGACTGGAAACTGTTTGTAAGTCACTGAGTAAAGAGCTGAGAGTCTCTGTACCACAGTGAGTCTCTGCACTTCAACACCAGGCAGGGGTCAAAGGTGAAATAGGGTGAATGGGTTGGTCAGAGACTTAAGCCAGCTGTCGGGGCGGCTGGGCATCTGTGTGTGTGTGTGTGTGTGTGTGTTTGTACTGAGACGGTGACATCATTTCCTTGGGCTCACAGACTGGTAGACTGGTGACATCACTGACTTTCATCGAGTTAGTATGCAGTCAGCGCTGCCATAACATGTTGTGTTGTACATTATTTTGTCAGTTTTAATGAATATATAGATATACAGTGTATATCTGTGTGTATATATATACCAAAATTAAATTCAGCTGGCACCAAACATATTTGAAATTATGTAAAAATAAAATGTATTCAGTGTTTGTTTTTGTTTTTTTATCTGATTCTATAGAATTTTTAAGGAATTTTCCTTGTTCCATAAATTTCTCCGCATCTTTCTTTTACTTCGTGGGGACAACTTTGGCAGCACCACGCACGGTGTCAGGAGATCCCAGTGACCAAACATGACTTCAGATGAAGGCTGGTGAAGACACCGTTGAGTTGACAAAGCAGTGAGACAGCAAACACAACAGTGAGCACACACTGAGAGGGAAGCTGCAGACTGTGGAGAATAATGAGACCCGTTTGGAAAAGAATTGTTCTGGCTCAGTTCACTGCATGAAAAGCTTTAAAATAATCAGTTTGCACTTAAATAAAATAGACTGTCCTCTGGATGATGTCATCACACACCAAACACTCTGAGAAATAATCAGCATTAACCATTTCCAAAAGCAAAGCATCCAAAGCCAAATAACGGTTTAAAGGGATTCCTTTCTGTTCAAATGCATGAGGTGAAAATAAGATATATATTTTATCACCGTTCATCTTCCAGAAGGAGATCAAATTAAACATGTATTTTTCAAGAAATGTTATTTTCAAAAAATTTTGAAATGTGTCAGTCTGTTTCCAAATGTCTTCAAAGCTGATAAGATCAAACCCTAACAATAAGGAATCCCTTTAAACACAGTTGTTGTGGTGGAGCAGGAGCAGCAGCGGTCAGTTCAGCTCCAGTCCATCTGTTGTCCATTCCAATCAAAGCACAGACGCGTGTGCAGAGCAGAGACAGAACGAGAACCAGACTGGCACCGAAAACCCCTCAGCGCACCGCGGCACACCCACGAGCACAGACATACACAAACAACTAGTCATCCGCAGGATACTGACCAGCTCGCTCTCATAGTAATTGTCCCAGTGGAGTTTGTGCGTTTTCTTTGTCATCTGGAAGCAAGGCAGAGCGGGTTAGGGAGGCGCTGACCGCACACAGGAATAAGCCAACAGTACACATGAGTTCACCGTCAGACACAAATGTATCAGAGAGCTGATCTCAGGACGTCACCTCGTCAGTGGTGACGGTCGCTGTCAGTGGATTTACCCACGGAAACCATGTGATTTTTCTTTTATGTTTTTAGCAGATTCTTTAAGATACTCTGGAAACCAATTCACCAGGTGTTGAAATGTGAGCAATGTTTTAAAAAATAAGGAGCTGATGATTTTCTGAGACAGCTTAGGGTTAAATGAAGTCAGCTTTGTTCATCACTATTGTCAAGTGAAGCAGTATCACCTGAAAGTTCAACTGAAGTTCTCTTTAGGGTTAAATCAGCTTTGTTCATCGCTATTGTCAAGTGAAGCAGAATCACCTGAAAGTTCAACTGAAGTTCTCAATAATAAAAGACAATAAAATGAATGAAATCGTGTCTTAACAGTTTAACAGTTAACTGGATCTATAAAATTTGTTTTTTCAATCGAACAATTTATACAAATTCTGTTTAGAGGAAAACAGATGATAGAGTGTGACTCTACAGAGTACAGTCTGGAGTGAAAACGATTGAGTGAACCTTGTTCTACCACAGAGGGCAGTACAAAGAGCAAATATCCTTCTTTGAGATGAAAGAGAGCTAAACATGGATAATCTCTTCGCTCCTTCGTGACACTGTGTCAGGTGTGTGTGTGTGTGTGCGTGTCTGCCACAAAAACAAACATGTGACTGCCGGCATCCCCAGTGAAAGGATGCTAGAGCTGGATTAGCTCCTGCTGTTGTCATGGAAACAGAACTGCATAGTAACAGGGAGAAAAGGAGGCGGAGCCTGCTGTTGTGGGGACCACGGGTGGATGGGAAAAAAAAAATGTTAATGTTTTGGAAAGGCAAAACACATGAACAAAGGACAGTTGTGTTGTGTCTTTATTTCACCCAATCAGAAAGGAACTGGCTGAGAAAAGGTGATTTAACAAATACATAAATAAATATTCTCTGGTCAACCAAATATTAATATATGTTTTTATAACCCAATCAAAATACTTACTGAAGTCTAAATGTAAACAACTGCTGATCTGGAATAAATGTGTCCTTGGTCACAAAGGTTAAAGTTGTAAGTCTTTGAAACAGAAATGCTGTAACCATGGTCACAAAGGTTAAAGTCTTTGAAACAGAAATGCTGTAACCTGATTGGTCAACTCCTGTTTCAGAGTTAGGTTTGATTATTATATTTATTATCAGACAGTTGCTCTGTTGTTTGGAGCCTGAACCAGAGGACGAACCAGGTTGTGGTGAGATTTCACATTGATTGGTTTGTTTGCATCACACAGAGTGACTCTGTGGGGTATTATAGTAATGACTACACACAAAAGTGACCAGAAATGAATGGGTCCAGGGTTCATTTAAAAACTATTCCAAAACCACCTCTGTGTGAAGACAGACAGATGATTGTTTGGACCAAGGACTGTGAGTAGAACTGTTCAGACAAACCTCAAAAACTGAAACTCAACATGTGGAGAAAACATTTTTAAAATGTTTAACTGTTGAATATGTTTGTCGAAGTGATGTGTTTTTGAGTGGAGCGTGTGTGGTTACAGACCTGGTTGAGGTAGTGATATTCCTCAGGTTGGAGAAGATGGAAGGACTTCCTTTCTTCTTCACTCGCTCCAGCCAACAGGTAGTAGAACACGTGGTAGTTCCTACAGACACACACAGACGGAGAGAATTCATTCATTTATTCATTTAATATTTCTGCTCTGGACTGGTTTGGTTCAGTTATTTAGACGTTAGATCAGAACCACAGGTTTTTGCCACAGCCAGGTAGTCATGGTCTAACTTCTCTGTTGGTATGGTTTGGGTTTTTGTGGCTATGACTTTTATAACCCAAATCAGTGGAGGTCAGTCTTCTTCCTCTTCCTCTTCCTCTATTTTTACTGATTCCTCCTTGTCTTTCTCCTCTTTCTACTTCTTCTTCTCCCTCTTCTTTTCCTCCTTTATCTTCCTCCTTTTCACCCTATCATCTTCCTCCTCTGCTGTAACTCCAGCCACCTCCATGTCCTCCTTACATTCATCCATAAATCTCCCCCCGGGTTCTTCTCTTCTCCGTACGCCTGGCAGCTCCATCTCCAACATCCTTTGAACAACATATTAACTACCACTATCTCAACACACGCCCAAACATCTCAACACTCCCTCTATTACTTTACAACCAAAACAACCAAAGAAAGGAGCTCCTTCAGCTGAAACTCTGCAGTTTAAGAGCGTATTACCACGCCTGATATTTGTTATTACTGAGTCATATTACCTGGTCTATGTGATTATATCAAAAGACAAATGTCTGTAACATTTATCCATAAATGGTAGCCTCAGGTTTTGGGGCGGTTTTTAATGCCCAGAGTCATAAAACCTGACAGAATCCCTGGAAAGCTCAGGTCCTCCCCTCCCCCTGGATTTTTTTTTTTCCTCCGGGGTCGTGCAGAGGGAACCTGTCATGAAGCAGGCTCTGGGATTTAAGATGGTTCGTAGTTCATCATCAGGCTGCCTCCTCTCCCACCACCTCGCTGTTCACGGTTGAGGCCGCCTGGGAGGTCCTGTCTTGAATTTCTAGCCTATCAATATGGCCGCCAGTGCCTGTCGTTGGGGTGAAATACAAACCTCAGGCCAATCAGGGTTAAAGGGATTAGATGACCAACAGAGCTGCACGAGTTTTTTTTTTCTGTCTGACTGAGACATGATCAGAGTTAGAATGTTTTTATGACAGATGTACTGTACGTGGACGGAGCTGATGAAGTCACATGACTGAGGTGGAAACATGTTCGTACTGTGGCCGCAGGTGGATGTGTTCTCGTAGCTCATTAAACTGCATGGTTTCTGGGTCTTTTTTTTTTACAAATAAATTATTTTATCATATTACAGTTTCCTTAAGGGACAATTTTAAGATTCACTACAGCTTT